GGGACAGAGAGAGTCGGGGTCACGGGGACACGTGGGGACACACTGGGGGAGGGACAGAGAGAGTCGGGGTCACGGGGACACGTGGGGACACACTGGGGGAGGGACAGAGAGAGTTGGGGTCACGGGGACACGTGGGGACACACTGGGGGAGGGACGATGGAGTCGGGGACACGGGGGACACACTGGGGGAGGGGACAGAGTTGGGGACCCCGTGGGGACACACTCTGAACCTTGTCCCCTGACCCCCGGTGACCTCGGTGCACCTGCGACCTCCGTCCTTGTCACCGGCGTCCGTCCCCACCGGGTCCCCCGTCTTCTGAGTTGTCACCCCGTCCTCTGGTGGCCTCGGCCTCCGTCACTGGTTCTGTCACCGCGGGCTCCCTCCTCGCGCCCCGGCCTCCACGGTCCTCCCGCCCCGGCCTCCACGGTCCTCCCGCCCCGGCCTCCACCATCCTCCCGCCCCGGCCTCCATCGTCCTCCCGCCCCGGCCTCCACCATCCTCCCGCCCCGGCCTCCACCCCCCCTTCCCCCCCGGGGCAGGTCTCGCTGTCCTCGAACCCGCGTCCTCAAGGTCCCGGCGTGTCCTCCCCCCCCAGGTGACCCCACACGCCCCGGTCCCCCCAGATCTGGGCGTCGTCCCCCCCAAAAAATAAGCTGGACCTCCAGCGGACCGGGAGGAGGACAGAGGCCGGCGGGGGTGGGGGGAGGGACCCAGGGGTGTTGGGGGGACAGGGGGGACCCCGAAGGCGGGGAGGGGGCCGGGGACACAGGGAGGCCGTCCTTTGTCCTCCTGCTTCCCTGGGCCCTGCAGCCTCCCTCCCCGGCCTCCACCAGTGAGGCCGGGGAGCCTCCGGGTCCGGACTCCCCCGGGGCAGGGTCCCAGCGCTGGGGGGGAGGGGAGTGCGGGCCCTGTCGCCATGGAGACGGCGCGCATGCGCTCTGGGAGAAAGAGGAGCCCAGGGCGCAGCCGCTTGGACACGCCCAGGCGGTGACGTCAGAACAGAAAACACAAAGGAAAAGATAGAAGAGTTAGAGACGTGTTTAAATTTATAAAAATAAGTAAAAAAAATTAAATGATAATTACTTAAATATGCTAAGATGGTGATGTCAAAATAGAAAATAAAATAAAAAGAAGATTTAAAGATATATTTAAATGGATAAAAATAATTAAAAAACTAAATAATAATTGTTTAAACATGCTGAGATGGTGATGTCAAAATAGATAGAAAATAAAAGTGTAATAAAAAGATAGAAGATTTAAAGATATATTTAAATTTATAAAAATAAAAAAATAGATAATTATTTAAATATGCTAAGATCGTGATGTCAAAATAGATAAAAATAAAATAAAAAGATAGATTTAAAGACATTTAAATTTATAAAAATAAAAAACTAAATGATAATTATTTAAATATGCTAAGATAGTGATGTCAAAATAGATAAAGAATTAAAAGATTTAAAGATTTATTTAAATTTATAAAGATAAATAACTAAATAATAATTACTGAAATATGCTAAGATGGTGATGTCACAATAAATAAAAAAATAAGAATAAAACGACAAAAGATTTAAAGACATATTTAAATTCATAAACATAAATAACTAAATAATTACTGAAATATGCTAAGATGGGGATGTCAAAATAAATAAAAGAGATAATAAGAATGAAAAGATGAAAGATTCAAAGAAGTATTTAAATTTAGAAAAATAATAAAAAAATAATTGTTTATTAATAAATAATAAAAATAAGGTAAATAAATATATTGGGACACAACCATAAACAATAAAAATAAAAAAAGATAAATAATAAAAATATAGGAACACAAAAAAGGACCTTTGCCTAAAGGAAAAAAAAAATAAAGAAAATGAAAAAAGTCAGATATATTTTTAGAAAGAAAATAAAAATAAATAATAATAAAAAACCAGCAGTCAGGGAAAGCTTGCTGGAGTGGGCTTTTAATTTTTTGGAAAAAGTCTGTATGTGTGACATGGGATTTTTTTGTTTGTTTTTTTGAGGCACAGCCTCGCTCACAGCAGCCTCCAACTCCTGGCCTCCAGCGAGCCTCCTGCCTCGGCCTCCCTCCCGAGTAGCTGGGACAACAGGCATGCACCACCACGCCCGGCTCATTTTTTCTATATATTTTTAGTTGTTTGGCTCATTTCTATGTTTTTTTTTAGTAGAGACGGGGTCTCGCTCTTGCTCAGGCTGGCCTCCACCTCCTGGCCTCGAGCGATCCTCCCGCCTCGGCCTCCCAGCGTGCTGGGATTTCAGGCGTGAGCCTCCGCGCCCGGCCTCCACACCCCTTTTGAACACAGAAATGAACCATCCTCGCATTTTGTGTGTTTCCCTGACAGCCCAGCTTGCAGATTCTTCTAGCTCATTCCATGAAGAACGTCCGGAGGCTCGGGCCTGTCGTCCCGGCACTCTGGGAGGGAGGCCGAGGCGGGAGGCTCGCTCGAGGTCAGGAGTTCGAAACCAGCCTGAGCAAGAGCGAGACCCCGTCTCTACTATAAATAGAAAGAAATTAATTGGCCAACTAAAAATATATATAGAAAAAAGGAGCCGGGCGTGGAGGCGCATGCCTGTAGTCCCAGCTACTCGGGAGGGAGGCCGAGGCGGGAGGCTCGCTTGAGGCCAGGAGTCGGAGGCTGCTGTGAGCGAGGCTGAGGCCACGGCACTCACTCCAGCCCGGGCAACCGTGTTTGGAAAAGGAAATGAAAGCGCGTCCCCCTGGCTCCTTTCCGCGCTGTGCGGCATCCGGGTATTTCTGCCCTTGGAGAAAGGGGTTTTGAGGCATGAATAGGAGTTCGCTGCGCAGTGACCCGAGCACACGGGGCGTGCGCGCTCTCCCCGGGCAGGGGCGGCTTCCTGTCCTTGTCCCCCGATGCTGGACGAGTGGCCCGGGCAGGGTCGGGGACCCCGGGGACTCTCTGCGTGAGGCGCTGGCGGGCGGAGTGGAGGCCGGGCCTCCGTAAGCCAGCCTCGCCCTCCTTCCCCCCCACCCAGGACCTCGCTGGGAGGCTGACGCCCGCCAGTCCTCTCATTCCCCCGGGGACTCAGTTTCCCCATCTGGAAAGACGGGCGCGAGCCGCTTCCTCTTCCACCCTCCCCCCACCCCACCCCGGCCTCCAGTAGAGGCTGAAGCAGCGAGACGTCAGGCCGGCGTGCGACTCCCGTGCAAGCGGGAAAGGTGGCGGGGAAACTGAGGCACGAGTTCCCTGAGCCTCGCACCGCCCGGGTGGAGGCCGTGACCTTACTCGGGGGGCAGAGCCACTTCCAGGTGGAGGCCCGGGGCGGAGGCCCAGAGCACAATGAGGCCCGGAGGCCGGCAGGAGCCCGACCCGGCGGGGGCATCCCCCCTAACCCTGTCCCCGGAGGGCCACCGAGGAGGCCGGGGAGGCGAGGCCGCGTCCGGGGGGTCCCGGGAAACGCGAAAGCGAGTGCCGGACCTTTTGGAACCCTGCTGCCGCCCCCCCCCCAAGTCGAGGCCGGGGGGCCCCTCCCCGCGGTCCCACGCCGTTGTTCCGGTGCCCTGCGGGAACAACAGAACAAAAGTACCCCAAATCGGGACGGAGGACGGCCTTCAACTCGGGGCACGCGGCCAAGCCTCCAGCCTCCTGGCCTCCCAAGCGGATCCCTTCCTGCCTCGGCCTCCCTTCCCAGCACGAGGGACCAGAGCGGCCCCTCCCGCACCGCACGTGGCTTTGTTTGGCGGGACCCGTCCCCGGGGGGGGGGCCCAGGACCCCAAGTTTTGCAAGCGCGTTGCCTCCCCCGCCCTCCCCTCCCCCGCTCCCCGGGGGGCACACAGTGACAGCAGGTGACAAGACGACCATAAAGCCGTGCTCGGCCGTCGGAGTGACGGGTTTTTTCTTCACCTCCCCAAAAAAACCAAAAAAAGTAGGGAGGCCGGCAGCCCTCGCCGGGTTGGAGCCGGAGCCGAGGTCCCCTGAGGGGCGTCCAGCCCCGTGGGTCAGGAGGGGCCCTGGAGTGCGCGGAGGGAGGCTGCTCCTCTAGAGGTTTCCAGAGTCTCCAGGGGGGACCGGCCGGCCTCAC